CCCCAAAACCCCAAAACCCCAAAACCCCAATTTGGGTGTTGGATATTGAAGGCTGCTGTATTATGGATAAAGATATAAGCACATAGCGAAAAATCTATATTCTGTATCTTTTTGAGGTCAATATAATAAGACCAAAGGTTAAGAAACTATATTTTTAATCGAGAGGGTTTGAATATTATGATCGTAATTAACCTTTGAGATGAAGAAGAAAAAGGAGAGAGGCCTGTGAGTATAAAGAAAGAGAAAATAAAAACAGAATATGAGCGAGTAATCTTATCAGAATCAGAAAAATATATTTCACTAAAAGGATCTGCCCCAAAGCTAGTGGACTCATATATTCGCCTTTTAGAGTATAGTTATGAATTTGAACCATCAGAGAACAAGTAAGCTTGCGCTTCATTGATTCCATAATCTTCTTGTAGATATGTTGAAATACTAGAAGACATCATCACTGAATTACAAAATGGATGTCCAGAGAACAAGCTTATGCAAACCAAAACTGATTCGATCAGTAAAGTTGATGTGAAAGTTGATGATTCTTCACACCAATGCGACCCTATTGAATTTTATTCGCTCATTCTTGATATATTTAAATTTCTAATGCCAAAACTGAAAGATCTCAGAGTAAAACTTGTATCTAACTTATAGCTTAATATGATCTTACAATATAAACGAATAATATCCACTATCACAAGTTGATGGCAATACCTGACCTGGAACCCAGAACCTCCTTGCTCAGGCCCAGCCTTTAAAAGAGTGAAAAAAGAGCTTTCTAAAGAAGAAGATCAGTCAGATCAGCTCAAACCTGATATTCCTGATTCAAAAGCCCAGTCTCTAAAAGAAAGACTAGATACAGATTTAAGATTGTATTTAGAAGATATGTACAAAGGTGCTTTACATGTCAAAACTGAAAAAGAAGAGCTATCACAGCCAGAAGAGTAAGCTATCTCTCCTTCTAACTATAGCTTGCTGATATCCAACCTTAAATAAAAACTTAAACCTCATCGAAATGGAAAAATACAGAGCAGACAAGCTTTATGAAATAAAAATTAAACAATTCAAGGCCAAACTGAAGAACAGGAAGAACCATAAGAATTCCAGACGCCAAAGGGACAACAAAAGGTACAAGAAGCTTGACCCAAAACTTTTCATTGAAATTTTCCACGACACTTCGAGAAATCTGAATCATGAGCAGAAAAAGAGAGAGTTTTACAAAAAACTTAACCCTCAAAAGAGAAAAATCTTTGAAGAGTGGGACATGAGAGGGTATAATAGACCTATAGACATCAGAGAAAGACCAGTAAGCTAGATTTTGTTACTGGTTTTAGGGATTCAAACAAGAACCTGGTGTTCCAGTCAGGTCTAATATATTCTTTGACAAGATTAAAGCAGAAGAAATAAAACAAAATATGAAGAAAGAGGAGACAGAATCAGATAATATCTGCCAATGGTATGTTGAAGATACTACTGAACCGAGCTAATTTTTGGAATTATTCAATTTTTAGGTTTTAATGAGGGGTTTTGGGGTTTTGGGGTTTTGGGGTTTTGGGG